AGAGAGAGAGAGAGAGAGAGAGAGAAAAGGAAGGAAGGAAGGAAGGAAGGAAGGAAGGAAGGAAGGAAGGAAGGAAGGAAGGAAGGAAGGAAAGAAAGAAAGAAAGAAAGGAAGCTAGGCTCCATCACCCTTCTACAATAAATCAATTAAAGAGCTAAGCAATAGGGAAAGTGAGAGGTTTACTCCATGTGGCCGCATTGGAAAGAGGAACAAATAAAGACTTCAAGTGTCTCTCGTTGACATACTGACTAGCTTTGGGTTTAAAGAGGAGCAAAAAAAAAGGGGGGGGGGAGGGAGGCAAAATTGGCACAATTAGCACAATTAATCTGGCCAAGGTGTGGCCTGGTTCCATGCTGGCTCAATTCTCACTCCGCAAGACAGCCCTAAAGAAGTCTGTCTTGCTGTCACGCTTGACCAGAGGGACCTGACAAGATGATCAATCACTCCTGCCCCAGGTGCAGCCTCGCCCTCCCGAATAATCACTGTCTTTGGAAGGATGATCCATGTGGCAAGGGTGCCAAGGAAAGGCGAAGGACCGTGACATCTCCATGTTTCAGGCAAAGCAAAGGAGACAGAGGAGAAATGAAGACCGTGAGGCCCAGCTCCCGTCCAGCTTTTCCTTACCTCGTAGGCCAACCTGGCCAGTAGACGCTCTTTAGCAAACGCAGCTTCTGAAGGTCTGTTTCCCCTTCAGAGGGGAATAGGGGATCTTTTGGGAACCGGGCTAGAAGCCATTTGGGTTGCATTCTGTGCTGACTAGTTTTATGTAAACTTGACACAGGCTATCGTCATCTGAGAGGAGGGAACCTTTAGTGAGAAAATGTCTCCATAAGGCCTGCTGTAGGCCTGCTGTAGGCAAGCCTGTAGGGCATTTCTTTAATTTGTGATTGACAGAGGAGGGCCCAGCCCATTAAGGATGGTGCCATCCTTGGGCTGCTGGTCCTGGGTTCTATAAGAAAGCAGGCTGAGCAAGCCAGTGAGCAGCACTCCTCCATGGCCTCTGCATCAGCTCCGACTCCCGGGTTCCCACTCAGTTTGAGTTCCTACCTTGGCTTCCCTCAATGCACTGTGACTCTGGACTTGTAAGGCGAACAAACCCTTTCCTTTCCAAGTTGCTTCTGGTCATGGTGTTTCATCACAGCCACAGAAACCCTAACTAAGACGCATTCATCTAAGAATCTGACTAAATTCTGCCCAGAACCTAGCATTTTGATTGAGACTGAATTCAAAAGTAATAGACTTGGCCTGGAAAAATGGCTCAGTGGCTAAGAGTTTGTACTGATCATGCAGAGGTTCCCAGCACCCACGTCATACAGCTGACAACCTTCTGTGACTCCAGCTGCAGGAGCTCTGATGTCCTCTTCTGGCTCTGCAGGCACCTCACACACATGGCACACACACACACACACACACACACACACACACACACACACACACAAATATACCTTATAAGTAAAAATAAGAACAGCCGGCTGGGCAGTGGTGACACACACCTTTAATCCCAGCACTTGGGAGGCAGGAGGATCTCTGAGTTCGAGGCCAGCCTAGTATACATAGTGAGTTCCAGGATAGTCAGGGCTACACCAAGAAGCCCTGTCTCAAAAAACCAAAAATAAAATAAAATAAATAAAATTAAAAATAAAAATAGGCAAGTGGTACTTATACCTTTAATCTTAGCAATCAGGAGGCTGAGGTAGGTAGATCTCTGAGTTCAAAGCCAGCCTGGTCTGTACAGTGAGACCCCCCCCCATCTCAAAACAAATAAACAAACAAATGAATTAATAAGTATCTATTTTTTAAAAAGTAATACACTACTTTGGTGAAGGAAATTCCAAGATAGCATTAACATTCAGCTGTAGTGTGATGACTGCACTTACTCGGATCTATAATGGGACAAACTAAAATATATGGGGGAAAAATGGCTGAGGGAAAGAATGAGGGGGTTATAGTCCCCAACAAGGAGGGTGCAGACAAAGTTAAAGAGATAAGAGCCATTAAAGAGGATTCTATGCGCTTCACCCGATGAATGAACGGTGTCCTGAATGTAAAACTCTACTTTCTAAAGGCTCCAACTTGAGAAAATACAAATTCATTTGAAAGGAGAGAGGCTGAGTATTGAAAACGTCATTAAAAGGGTTCCCTGCTTGTAGCAACCACCTGGACAAATGTTTCACCAGATTCAGCAGCTCAGGGGCACAGAGGCCAAGACAGTGTTGGAAAGGGTGGGTAGTGTCTTGTCAGCCTGACATGAGCTAGAATTATCTGGGAAAGAAGACACTAACTCAGGGACTGCCTCCATAAGACTGATGTGAGAGGGTCCGGTCTACTGTGAGTGGTATCGCTCCCGGGCAGGTGGTCCTGGCTGAGCATGGAGAGCAAGCCAGTAAGCCATGTTCCTCCATGGCCTCTGTTTCAGCTCCTGCCCTGACTTGCCTCAGTGAGGGACTGTGATCTGAGAATTATAAGCTGAAATAAACTCTTTATACCCCACGTTGCTTTTGGTTATGGAGCATTATCACAGCAATAGGAACCCACACTTAGACAATATCTTGATCTGGCAGCAGAACTTGGCTGTATTAACCATCACAGTCCTGATTACAGAGGCATTCGAGAATACATGAGTTATGGGGTCATGGAGGCTTGCAACAAGGTATCAGAAATCCACCAAAGGCAAGTAATTTATAGCAGGGTCAGAGTCCATGCCAATAGGCCCCAGGAGACCACAGTGTGAGGCTGAGAGGAAGATCGTAAGTGACTGTGGTATCTCCAGGATGCTGAGATGCTGCAGATGTGGAGTCCAGCCTGCAGCAAGTAGCGGAAAAGGGGAGGGAGGGGAGGCGGGGGGTGGGGGGGGGTAAGGACTACCAAACCTTTGAAATCCACCACAAGCTCTACAGCCATCGTTCTCAACCTTCCTAATGCTACAACCCTTTAATACAGTTCCTCGTGCTATGGTAACCCCCAACCATTATTTTCATTGTTACTTCATAACTGTAATTTTGCTACTGTTGTGAATTGTAATGTAAATATCTGTGTTTTCCGACGGTCTTAGACGACTCCTGCAAAAGGGTCATTTGACCCTCCAAAGGGATCAGGACCCACAGGTTGAGAACCACTGCTCTAAATGCTGGACACGAGACTTCAGAGTTCAGTGGTTTCCCTAGTGGTTTTGGGCATTGCTTTGGGCCACCCTTCTCTTGCTAATACCTTCATTTCCCCACCCCAAATGGTGGAATTTAATATACGCCATTGTATGTTGAAAGTATGTAAGCTGGGGTTTGTTTTTTTTAATGTTTTTGGTATGCATCTGTGTGTGTGTGTGTGTGTGTGTGTGTGTGTGTGTGTGTGTGTGTGTGTGCTATGTGTCTATGCACATTTTCGTGTGTGTGGGGGGGTACATATGTGTGTAGAGGCCCAAGTTTGACATTGGGAGTTCTCTTCAACCACAGGCCACTTTATTCACTGATTCAGGTTCTCTCAGTTTAACCTAGAGCTAGTAGGTCTAGTTAGTCTAGTTAGTCTAATCTAGTTAGCCAGTTTGCTCCCAGGTCCCCATCTCCACCTTCTGAGTACTGGAATTATACATGGGTCACCATATCCACCAAGCATCTACATGGGTTCTGAGTATCCAAATTCTAAAGACCACACCCCCACCTCCAGCTTTTCAGGTTTTTTTTTGTTTTTTTTTGTTTTTTTCCAGAGCTGAGGGCCGAACCCAGGGCCTTGTGCTTGCTAGGCAAGCGCTCTACCACTGAGCTAAATCCCCAACCCCCAGTTTTTATTTTACAGGTGTATAAGTTAAAGATTGATCTCAAAAGAGAGTTTGGCCAGGTATGGCAGTGCACACCTTTAATCCCAGCACTTGGGAGGCAGAGACAGGCAAATTTCTGTGAGTTCTAGGACAGCCAGAGAGAGACCCCATCCCCCAAAAAAGGGTGGTGAACTTTTGGACAGTTTTGAAGCTGTTAAGACTATATGAACCTGCTGGGTGATGGTGGCGCACGCCTTTAATCCCAGCACTCAAGAGGCAGAAGAAGGTGGGTTTCTGTGAGTTTGAGGCCGGCCTGGTCTACAGAGCGAGTTCCAGGACAGCCAGGGCTACACAGAGAAATCCTGTCTGGGAAAAAAAAGAGAGAGAGAGACTATAGGGACTTTTGGAGATGAACTGCATTTTATATTTTGAGATGAATAGGAGACTTCGGGGATAAGATATAGAAGATTCTCATTTTAACGTGTCTAGGGCTGGAGTTAAGAGATAAGACTAGGTTCAATTTCCAGCACCCATATCAGGCGGCTCACAACCTCCTGTACCCCTGTCTCTAGGGGATCTGCTCCAACACTCTTTTCTGGCTTTTCTTTCTTAAGTTGTTTCGTATTTGGTCACAGCAATGAAAAAAGTCATTGGAAGAGTGGGGATATGGCTCAGTATTAAAAATGCTTGCCCAGAATCCACCAATAAGATCTGCAGGAGTAGTCTGGGGGTAGAGTGCTTGCCTAGAATCTGCCTATGTGAGCACTTTTTTAGAATGCATAAGGCACAGGCTGAGTGTTGGCTTAAAAATGAAGAGCACTTGCTGCTTTTTCAGAAGACTTCAGTTTGTTTCCCAGCATCATGTTGGGTGGTGCATAACTGCTTATAACTCCAGGAGATCTGGCGCCCTCTTCTGAACTCCATGGTCACCTGCACTCAATGTGCACATGCACACACACACACACACACACACACACACACACACACACACACACGAACACACATCTTTTTAAAATGATAAAAGTAAATATTTTTAAGATTTATTTTATATGTATGAGTGTTTTGTCTGCATACATTTATGTGTACCATGTGCATGTCTGGGGCCTGCCGAGGCCAGAAGAGGGAGTCAGATCCCCTGGAATGGAATTACAGGCTGTTGTGAGCCACCATGTGGATGCTGGGAACCAAACCTGAGTCCTAAGCAATAACAGCAAGTGCTTTTAGCCACTGATCCATATCTTTAGCCCCCAGAAATCTTAGAGCCATATCTCTAGCCCCTGTAAATCTTGAGAGAGAGAGAGAGAGAGAGAGAGAGAGAGAGAGAGAGAGAGAGAGAGAGAATGAAGCCCCAGACCCTATCCTTGGTATAGGAAGAAAGCACTAAGGATTATTATAAAGGATTATGAAGAGTACCAAAAGCTCAGGGTTTAGCACATCTAAAGATTTAAAGATTCAGCAGTTAACATCTTAAACATCCAGGTTGGGCTCCCCTTCAGCTAAGGGATTAGTGGGGAGCAACAACCTTGCAGAACTCTGCCAAAAAACACTCCCCAACACAGCTGCCCTGTCACACTGGGTGTGAGCTGAAGAGGAAGGGCAGCCAGGGGGCAGAGAGAGGCACAGAGAAGAAGGAGGCAGGGGTGCCCAGGGAGAAAGGAAGCACAGACATTCTGAAACGGGGACTAAATTATGAGAAGGACCAAAATGGAATGCTGTGGTTTGGATGAGGTGTCCCCCACAGTCTCGTGCATCTGAGTATCTGTTTCCTCCATTGGTGGTGCTACTGGACAAAGCTTAGGAGGCGGGGCCTTGCTGGAGTAAGTATGTCACTAGAGGTGGCCTTTGAGAGAACAAAGAGTGTCACCAGTCCCAGTGTGCTCTGATTCCCGCTTGCAGTTCAAGATGTGAGCTTTCAGTTTCTGCTCCAGATGCCATGTCTGCTGCTTGCAGAAAAGTAACTGATACAGATGGAGACCTGAGAGAAAAAGGAGAGGGACAGAGATGGTCTGAAGCCGAGAAGAGAGTGTGAGGTAGAATCACAGAAAACAAGAGACTTACTTTGCACTGAGCCCTGTTTTAGACACTCAAGGTGCAGAAGTGGACTCACCAGCCTGGCACAGTGGGCCATATTTGAAAGGAGGATGGAGAATTCACAGCCAGGCTGCATTACACACTGAGATTCCCACCTCAAAAAAAAATGTTTTTAAAAGTGGTGCAGACTATAAACCAGGCAGTGGTGTCGCATACCTTTAATCGCAGCACTGGGGAGGCAGAGGCAGGTGACTCTGAGTTTGAGGCCAGCCTGGTCTACAGAGTGAGTTCCAGGACAGCCAGGGCTACACAGAAAAATTGTCTCAACACCCCACCCCCAAAAATGATCAAGACTGGGTCTGGGAAGATGGGTCAATCTGTAAACCCTCTGTGCAAACAGGACATGAATTCCATCCCCAGCAGCCACGTAAAAGCCAGGAACTGTAATCTATAAGCACATGCCTGTAATCCCAGTGCTGAGAAGGCAAAATCCCCAGAGATTGCTAGTCAAGCGATCTGCTGAGTCTGAGAGGTTTAATGAGAGACTATGTCTCAAAAAATTAGTTGGAAAGCAATTTCGGAAGACAGCCAACATCAACCTCTGGTTTCCACTCATGCACACCCTCACACACATGCACACACACATTTTTTTTTTTCATTTTGGTTTTTTGAGACAGGGTTTCTCTGTGTAGCCCTGGCTGTCCTGGAATTCATACCAGGCTGGTCTTGAACTCACAAAGATCCACCTGCCTCTGTCTTCTGGGTGCTGGGATTAAAGGCATGCACCACCAAGCCTAGCACAAATTTTTTTTGACTGGTCAGAAAAATTCCTGCTTTTGAAGGGGTAGAAGCTCACAAGGCCTGGCCCCTCCCTAAGGATCTACAGGCAGTTAGTGATTGCTGGAAGAGGAAGAGACGTCGTCCTCCGAAGTGTAGCCACCGGTAAGCTGTCCAAGCTTCGGTAATCGATCCTAATTAAACTCATCGGTTGACCAAAAAAAAAAAAAAAAAACCCGACATCCGACATGAAAATAGAAGGACTAGCAGGAAGAAGATGGGGGTCAGTGGGGGTAGGGGTGGACAAGAGAGGGTGAAGGGGTGGGGGAATGTGACCAAAATGTATTATATGCATGTATGTAGGTACGTATGTATTGGAAATGTCATAATGAAACCTGGTTTTTTGTTTTGTTTTGATTTTTTTTGGTTTTTCAAGACAGGGTTTCTCTGTGTAGTTTTGTTGCCTGTCTTGGATCTCGCTCTGTAGCCCAGGCTGGCCTCGAACTCACAGAGATCCGCCTGGCTCTGCCTCCCGAGTGCTGGGATTAAAGGCATACGCTGCCACTGCCCAGCATGAAACTTGTTGATATGCACAATACATGCTAATAAAAACTTGATTAAAAAGAGAAATTAGAATGATTTCAAGTAGAAAACAAGGTTAAAAAATAATAAATCCTGGGCTTGAAAAGCTGACATCCCAGGGTATAGCCCAACACAGTGAAAAGAGGGACCAGGGGTTGGAGAGAAACCCAGACTCTAAGATAAAGAACCCATCATTCTGACCGGTGGGGGCAGGGCTGGGCAGTAGGAAGTCTCATCCTTCTGTGCAGTTAGCCTTGCCCCCTGAGGAAGGGTGTTGCCCCTCAAAATGAGGATGCCGCAGGGGCAAAGACCTGACTGGAGGGTCATGAGGTCCAGACTGGAGGGCTGGGGATGCTGCTCAGCAGAGAGAATCCTGGCCCAGCATGCAGACACCTGGGCTCCACTACCCGGCACTGTATAAAAAGCTGTGGTGATGCATGCCTGTAAGCCCAGCACTCAGGAAGTGGAGGCAGAAGGATCAGAAGTTCAAAGTCATCCTTGACTACATAAGGAGTTGTAGACCATCCTGGGATACCCAGACCCTGTCTTAAAAAGGGGAGTGGGTGGGGGCTGGAGAGATAGTTCAGTAGTTAAGAGCACTTGGTTTTATAGAGGACCCAGATTTGATTCCCAACATTCACTTGGCAGCTTACAGCCATCCATAACTATAGTTACTCACTCACATAAAATAAATCTCTGAAAGATTAAAAAAAAAATCTGGAGACATACAGAGGAGAGAGACATGTTGGGGTTGGGGGATGCAGGAGAAGAGAGAGAAAATGAAAACAGAGGCAGAGGCTGAGAGAGAGAGAGAAGCAGGTATAGAGAGCTGAGGAACAGACTGGGGGGAGACAGAGCTGCTGAGACACCTCCAGAAACGAATCAGTCAGCCTCTTCCAGGGCCCCCTACCTTACCCCCCAGGTCTGGGCTCCCTCCCAGGCAGGAAAACCGGATCCAACAGGCAAGGGAGGGGCAGGAAGGTGGACCTCATTCCCGAACAGTCTGTCCTCAAGAACTGACGGCCCCACCCAGGGGCTGCTGCAGGCCCGAGTGGGCCCCTCCAGCCTGCGCCCCTAGAGCCAGGGGGATAATAAGGAGACACATCTGCTATCTTGGCCTGCTCTCAGATAGGGGTTCCTCCCGAGGGTGCTGGGGGGGGGGCGGCTGGAGACTAGGTGATTTAGAAACAGACTTGGGACCTTGGCAGGGCATGAAAGCCAGAGCCTGGGGAAGAGAGACGGCCCAAGTCTAGGGCAGAGAGGCACTGAGAAGGCATCCAGAAGCTATAACGCTAGTGGGTGGCATCAGGAGCCTTGGGAAGAGCAGCAAGCATCAGAGGGACAAGTCCAGGAATCGACAGCATACAGGCTTCCCGGAGCAATGCAAAGAGCCAGGCATAGTGGGGCACACCTTTAATACCAGCACTGAAGAGGCTGAGGCAGGAGGATCATGGATTTGAGACCAGTCTGGACTACATGATGAGACCCACCCTTTTCAAAGGGGAAGTGAGGAGAGTGGCAAGGTAGTTGAGACCATTGACTGCTCCTCCAGAGGACCTACACCCAACCAACTGTGGGTGTTCAATCCCCAACGCCCACTTAGCAGCTCACAGTCATTTGTAACTCCAGTTCCAGGGATCTGATGCCCTCCTCTGGCCTCCCTGAGCATCTGGAACACATAAGGTGCATAGACATATAGGTAGGCAAAACACCCATACACATAAAATAAAATAAAATAAAAGTTATTTATAAAAAAAAATAAAGAAAAGCCAACAGAAATGATAAAATCCCAAGTGTGAGTTTCTAGGAACCACAGGCCCAGGGCACAGGCATGCCAGGCCAGTGATGTTAGTGGTGGACGTAGGAGTCAGGGGTATATTAGGAAGTGTATTAGATACACCTGTCTGTCATTTGAAGGCATGGTCCAGAAGAACACATAGGCCTATGGGTCCTGGGGTTTTGGGAGGATGCACCTGGCTGAGTGTCTATGTGAAAATGGTAGGCTGGAGCGTGTGTGCTCTCTCTCTCTCTCTCTCTCTCTCTCTCTCTCTCTCTCTCTCTCTCTCTC